CCACGCCCCCAGCCCCTCACTGGGGATTCTAGGCGGGGCTCCACCCTGACCACGCCCCCAGCCCCTCACTAGGGGATTCAGGGGACGTTAGAGCACCACCAGGCTTCATTCTTAAGTCTTTTAAGACAAAGATTTGCTGGGCAATGGTGGCACACACCTTTAATCCCAGCATTCGGGAGGCAGAGGCAGGCGGATCTCTGTGAGTTCGAGGCCGGCCTGGTCTACAAAGTGAGTTCCAAGAAAGGCGCAAAGCTACACAGAGAAACCCTGTCTCAAAAAAACAAAAAAACAAAAAAAAAAGAAATTATTTTGTATGTATTATAGAGTGCACTCATGTACAGTGCATAGTTAGGGCTCAGTGGTAGCGTACTTGTTCTTAGAGAGGACCAGGTTTGATTCCCAGCATTCACCTGATGGCTCACAACCATTCTAAGTCCAGATCCAGGGGACCCAACACCATCTTCAGACCTAAATCTCAAAGGGGGCCAGCCAGCCATATCTGTGGTGGACATTCAGACATGCAAGCAAAACACTTATATGCATAAATTTAAATATCTAAAAACAAAAAAGGAATTAACTTTTACCTGTCCAGTCAACAGCTTGTTGTGATGATGCACGCCTGTGTCCCTAGCGTTCAGTGGGCCTAGGCAGAAGGACTGCAGGGACTTCCAGGCCAGCCTGGCGACACAGAGAGGCACTGTCTCCAGAAACAGCACAAGCAAACACAAGCCAGCTGGACAGTGCTGTCCCACTGTCAACCCAGCACTGGGAGGTGGAGGCAGGACATCAACACCAAGGGCATCCTTGGGTGGAGAGCTGGAGTCCGCATGAGACACCCCGACTCCCAGCCCACAGTTCCCTTTGGGTTACACAGTTTCACATTTTAAGCATTTGTGACCGATATTTAAACAAGGGGGCAGGGAGTTGCTGCTTCTGCTGCACAGCTCCCAGCTTCTCATAAAACCACTGGCTTGGTAACGCTGGCCTGCACGTCCGTCCCCATGGCAACAGCGGTGGGAATGCTTCCTGAGCCCATTGGCAACACTGCATGGATAACTCACCCTCTAGAATCTTCCATCAGCTCTCACCATCAGCACCCCTGCTTTTTGTACACGTGTTTGTGAGTGTGGAGGCCAGCAGTACCTTCCACTGGTTCCCCACCTTAGTTTTTTGTTTGTTTGTTTGTTTTTAATATTAAAAAAAATATTTTTTAATGTGTATGAGCCAGGTGGTGGTGGCGCACGCCTTTAATCTCAGCACTCGGGAGGCAGAGGCGGGTGGATCTCTGAGTTCAAGGCCAACCTGGTCTACAGAGCGAGTTCCAGGACAGCCAGGGGGTACACAGAGAAACCCTGTCTCGAAAAACAAACAAAAAATGTGTATGTGTGTAAGCTTTTGCCTGGGTGAGTTTATGTGCACCATAGACACACAGAAGCCTGTAGCGGACAGAAGAGGGCATGGGATTCCCTGAAACTGGAGCTACAGGCGGTTGTGAGCCGCAATGTGGGTGCTGGGAATCAACAGCAGTCCGCGATCATTCACTGCTGAGCTCCTCGCCAGCCCCTGTTTTGTTCAATTTTTAATGTTTGTTCGAGACTGCTGAACTCAACATGTAGCCCAGGCTGGCCTGGAAATCATAATCCTCCTGCCTCACAGGCTCCTGGTGCTGGGCTGACAAGGCCTGTGCCTCCAAGCGCTGCTTCTAACCCTTACAGCGCATGTGCAGGCCGGGGTGGGGATGGGGGGCGGGGGCTCAGGGCGGGCAGAGGGCTCGCCCAGCACGCAGCCCTGGGTTCCACCCTGGGCACATAGTCAGGTGTCGTGGCATAGGCCTGCCATCCCGGCACCCCAGAGGCAGAGGCAGGAAGGTTAGGACTTCATTGAGTTTGAGACCAGCCTGGGCCTGAAGGAAGGAAGGTCTCCCAGCTCAGGCTCTCACGCATCATCCACTAAGGCTTTAAGGGGAGTTCGGAGGGGGTAGTCAGTCTGGAACCTGCACGTAGGCACACACACCCAAGGACACTGTCGGGTGGGGCACTCACAATCCGCTCAAACTCTTTGGCCTGTTCCAGCTCTCTGGGGAAGCCATCGATGAGGAAGCCGCGGCTCTCCGGACGCGACAGCAGGTTGTCACTGATCATGTCCAGAATGAGACCCTGGGAAGGAAAGGGCACTGACTCAGGACTCAGTGCCCGGGACCCACCACCCCGGAGGGCCAGGTGCTACGAAGGTCATTCGGTTTGGACCTCCCGTGAGACAGAAGCAGGACCCAGCAGCGCCTGACTCAGTGGCTTCCTTTCTGCTTGTAGGCTTTTCGTTTTTTGTTTTGTTTTGTTTGTTTGTTTGTTTTTGTTTTGTTTTGTTTTTTTGAAAGAGGGCCTATCTGTGCAGCCCTTAGAATTCTTAGTGTCTTAGAATTCATAGACCAGGCTGGCCTCAGACTCACAAGAATTCATAGCCCAGGCTGGCCTCAGACTCAGAGACCCAACTGCCTCTGCCTCCCAAATGCTGCGATTAGAGGAGTGTGCCACCGCGGGGCTCTAGGCTGGACTCTTAAAAGTTTATTAGATCTTGTTGGGTAGTGGTGCACTCAGAGGCAGAGACAGGAGGATCTCTGTGAGTTCTAGACCAGCCTGGTCTACAGAGTGAGTTCCAGGACAGGCAAGGGCTACACAGAGAAACCCTGTCTCGAAAAAAGAAAACAGGAGCGCGCACACACACTCACACACACGTTTATTATACCTCTATTATTTGTCTAGTTGTGGAGGGGTGGTGCATGTGCCGCAGCAGGTGTGGGGCCAGAGGACCACCTGCAGCAGTCAGTTCTCTCCATCACAGAGGCCCCAGAGACTGAACTAGGCTGTCAGGCTGCACTGCCAGTGCCTTCCCCAAGGTTCGGTCTCTCTGGTCCTTGGCATGTGGTCACAGACACCACCAAACTCCTTCTCCTGAGTGCTGGGTTTCCCAGGATGCACCAGGTTTCTGCCGTGCTGGGGATGGGGCGCAGGACTGTGCATGCTAGGTGAGTGCTCTACCAAATGACCTCCACCACTGCCCTCACTGGGACCTTTTCGGGGTAAAGTTTTATTTGTATGAGTGTTTGTCTACATGGATGACTGTGCGTGTACGCAGAGCCCTCGGAGGCCCAAAGAGTTGACGTGTGGGTGCTGGGAACCAAACTCAGATCGATCGAGGGCCGGAGCAGCAGGTGCCCTTAACCGGCCCCAGGACACCCTGGCTCCCTGGGGACTCTCTCCCGTGAACTCTCACCGTGGGCACCAGGCGTCCCTGCTGCATGATGTCCCGGATCTGGTGGCCCCGCGGGGTCCTCCTCTGAGCCTCCTCCCGCAGCAGCTGGCCCAGCCCCACGTGGCAGAAGCCGTACTTGCTGGCCATGTTTCTGCACTGGGTGCCTTTCCCACAGCCAGGGCCGCCCACCACGAAGATGATCAGGGGGGACTTCAGGACATCTAGGTTCAGGAAAGACACAGTGGGTCCTAGTGCGTGTCTTTAGGATCCCACCGCTGGGATTCTCTTGAGCCGTGTGCACAGACCTCCTTGGAGCACCTCAGTAGCTCCATCACCCCATTTTACAGATAACGAAGGGGAAAAGCCCTCAAAGTCAGCCAGCCGCACTCTGCTCCGCCCACCGTGCGGTCCTGTCCCTCCTGCCTGCTGGTGCCTCCAGTCATACCTCCCGCACGTGGGGGTAAAGCCCCTGTCCTTTCCTCTCCCTGCCTCAGACCCCCGTGTCTCCCGTCGTCAGCCCTGGTTCTCCCTCCCTTTCAACTCGCTTTGGTCCTGCTAGCCAGCCTCTGTAAGGCAGGGCGCACGGCCCCGGATGGTGAAGAAATGAATGTCTCAGCTACCACGCACGTCTGTGGGCTCAGCAGTTTATGGTTCAGTGTCTGCGTGTCCCCTGCCCCTCCGCTTAACCAACTCCTGGCGTCCCGCAGGCCGCCTGTCTCCGAGACCTTCCTCTAAAGCCGTAATTTCCATTTTCGGAGACTGGCTCCACTACTCGTCATCTCCCACAGTGGGGCTGCGCAGCTGCGTCCCCGCCGTGCTGGGCTGGTGCGCGCCCCGACAGTGGGGATGCCTGGCTCCACGCGCCCTCCCGTTACCCCCTGTAAACCACACCACGTTACCCTTCTCCTGCGGCCTCAGAGCTCTGCCCATCTGGGGCAGCGTGGACTCGCACAGACCCATCCCGCCCGCCTGCCGGGGGACGCGGGGACCCGGTCCCCGCCCGGCCCCGACCCCCCGGCTCCACTCTACGTCACAAGGGGCTCATTTTGCAAGATGCCCGGGATTTCCCAGGCCCCGGGGCGCAGAGGAAACGGAAGCCCAGGCCCCGCCCGGGAGCAGCCCGGGAATCCTCCCGCGGAGCCCCGCCCCGGTTGCTACGGCAACGCGGCCTCCGCGCCCGCTTCCCGAGCCCGCCGACGCATGCGCAAGAGCGCCGAGGACGCGCCCGCCAGGAGACTCCGTTCCCACCCTACCCAGCACGCACCGCGGGGCCTGCGCCGTGACGTCACGGAGGGGCGTGCCCGCGCGCCGTGATTCAATCATCGGTGCCATAAAAGAGGACGCCGGCCGGGCGCGGCTCCGTCGCTCCCGGGAGCTGCAGGCGACCTCGGCTGGGCCCTGCGGCGGCTGCCAGCCCGGTGTGGCAGCTCTACTTCCGGGTTAAGCCGTGACGCACGCGCAGAGAGTTAGGTTTTTGTCGGTTTGTTTTTGCCTTTTTGTGAAAACTCTCCCGGTGTTCTCTGAGACTTCAGGGTTTGGAGATCCAACACCCAGGATCATATTAACGTGACATCCGGGCAAGGTGCCTTCCCCGGGACCGAGGGACACCACGGAGAGCATCCGGGCCGGGGCGACCCGGAACCGCTTGAGCAGCGGCCATGGCGGCTCTAGTGAGTATGAATGCGGCGGGGATGGGGGGTCGCAGGGCAGACCCGCGGCCTCTCCGCGCCTCACAGACCCGTGCTCCCTCTGCAGGGCCCCGGCAGCCAGAATGTCACCGAGTACGTCGTCCGAGTGCCCAAGTAAGTCACCCCCAGCACGCGCTCCCGGCCGGGGGTGGGGCCGCCGGGGCCGCGGACCGCAGGGTAGTGCATGTCAGGGCCGGTGCCTTTGTCCGTCCCAGACGCTCAGGCCCGGCGGCGCACGCCTTTAATCCCGGCACAGGGAGGCAGAGGCAGGCGGATCTCTGTGAGTTCCAGGTCAGCCTGGGCTACACAGAGAAACCCTGTCTCGGGGGAAAAAGAAATCCCAAACTGGTCACAAGTGTTCTACATCCAGTTTCTACGTCTGTGCCAAGAGTGCCACGTCCCCCAACTCCTGACTGTCTCGGGTGGGTGCGAGGCAAGCGCTCCCCCACTGAGCCACGTCCAGCCCCCTTCATTTTGAAGACAGAGGCTTACTGTGTAGTTCTAGCTGGTTTGACCAGGTTGGGCTTGAACCCACCAAGACCCACCCACCCTCACCCCTTGCCTGCCTGCCCTCCTCTCTACAGTAGGTCCCCCTGCACCTTTGGCCGGCCCACTTGAAGTTTTATTTATTATCTTAAAGTTTTATTTATTATCTTACGTGTATGAATGTTTTGTCTGCATGTACAACTATGCACTGTGAGCATGTCTGGTGCCCGTGGGTCTGATAGGTTTGAAGGAGAACAAACTGGAAAACTCTGGAGCAGTGGTTCTCAAACTGTGGGTCTCAACCCCTTGGGGTCAAGTGACCCTTCACAGGCGTCGCCTGGGACCATTGGAAAGCACAGACATTTGCAATTCATAACAGGAGCAAAAATTACAGTTAATTAATGAAGTAGCAATGACAATAATTGTATGGTTGGGGTTCACCCCAGCACCAGGAACTGAGTTAAAGAACTGCAGCTTTGGGAAGGTTGAGAACCACTGCTCTGGAGTCTTCTATGAGTTCCCAGGATCACCTACAACCAAGGGTGTAATCATGAATTTGTTGAATGAATATCAATAGATTGAATTGTCTCTTGCTCATTCCAGGAATACAACCAAAAAGTACAACATAATGGCTTTTAATGCAGCTGATAAAGTCAACTTTGCTACCTGGAACCAGGTAAGCCTGTAGTTCTGGCTGACTAGGGTAGGGGCCTAACTGGGCTGGTGGTTGCAGTAATCACTTTCCTGAAATGATGGTGCTACACCTTTTTTGGTTTGTTTTTTTGGTTTTTCGAGACAGGATTTTTTTTCTGTGTAGCTTTGGTGCCTGTCCTGAAGGTGCATCTCCTTCTGTAGTCCAGGCTGGCCTCAAACTCAGAGATCCACCTGGCTCTGCCTCCTGAGTGCTGGGATTAAAGGTGTGCCTGACTGGTGGCTACACTTAAAACCCCAGCAGACATGTGATTCTAACCATTTGGAGGCTGAGGCAGAAAAACAGTATTTTAAACTGGCCTGGCTACATAAATCCTGTCTAAGAAAAAACAGAAACAAAAAAACCTATAGGCGTGGTGGTGCACATCTGTTACCCCAGCACTGGAATGCAGTATAGGGTCTTGAATTGAAGACCATCCTTGGCTACATAGAGAGCTCAAGGGAAGCCTAGGACACGTGGACCATGCCTTAAAAACGGTAAAGTAGGGGATAGCAAGATGGATCATCAAGTAAAGATCTGACTCTTCAACTTTGTCCTCTGACCTCACAAACAGCCAGTCCATGTTCAACCCCCCAAACAAATACAGTTTTAAAAGTTTTTAGCTGGGCAGTAGTGGTGCACGCCTTTAATACCAGTAGAGCAGAGCCAGCTGGATCTCTGTGAGTTTGAGGCCAGCCTAGTCTACAGAGTAAATTGTAGGACACCAGAGCTACACAGAGAAACCCTGTCTCGAAAAACCGATAAATAAGGAAATTTTAAAGGCCAAAGTTTTGAACTGTCTACTATTCTGGGTGCCATGTTAAGATGTTATTGTCTCCATTCTGTCTGGGTTGCTCCTGAGCCATCCCCAGGTGGACACTGTCCGTCTTTAGTCTCTATCCTGAATCTCTGGGATTCGGTATATGGGGATATATGGGGTGTGTGTGTGTGTGTGTGTGTGTGTGTGTGTGTGTGTGTGCGCGCGCGCGCGCGCGCGCGCGTGCGCATGCGCTCATGGGCATGCTGTGCATGTCAGGGCCAGAGGTTGACATCAGTGTCTTTTTTTTTTAAATTTGTATTTTATGTACATTGGTTTTTGCCTTCATCTATGTCTCTGTGAGGGTGCTGGCTCATCTGGAACAGGAGTTACACAGAGAATTGTGAGCTGCCATGTGGGTGCTGGGAATTGAACCTGGGTCCTCGGGAAGAGCAGCCAGTGCTCCTAACCACTGAGCCATCTCTCCAGCCCCATCAGGGTGTCTTCTTTAGTCACTTTCCACGCTATTATTTTGATGACATCTGTTGGGGCACAGGTGTGTGTGTGTGTGTGTCACAGTTTGGAGGTCAGAGGGCAGTTTTCAGGAGTCAGTTCTCGCCCTCTGCCTGCATTAGGTTTTGAGTCAGGGTATCTCACTGCACCTGGGGCTTGCTGGCCAGTGAGTTCCAGGGACCCTCCTGTCTGTCCCTCCTTGCTGGGGTCTCACACACGCCATGCCCAGCTTCCTTTGTGGGTGTTGGAGATCCGAACTCCCCCTCCTCATGCTGGGAGCAGTGGAACCCCGCACAGGGAGACAGGGCGGGCCTGTGGGGGGCTGAGAGGCCGTCCTTGCTGCTCCCCCAGGCCCGGCTGGAGCGAGATTTGAGCAACAAGAAGATCTACCAGGAGGAGGAGATGCCAGAGTCCGGAGCAGGCAGCGAATTCAACCGAAAGCTCCGGGAGGAGGCACGACGGAAGAAGTACGGCATCGTCCTGAAGGAGTTCCGGCCTGAGGACCAGCCCTGGCTGCTCCGGGTCAACGGCAAATCGGGCAGGAAGTGAGTGGTGCTGGGGTGAGGAGCACCTCCCCTGAGTGTGCTCTCACAGGAGGGGCCGGTACCACCCCTCTTTCAAAAGTTAAATCTTAGGTGTTGTTGGCCTGAGAGTGGCCTTGAGGTGAGGCTGGGACACTTGGGGCGACCCCGGGGTAGAGGTGAAGTCTGATGGAGCCAATGACAGGTGTTGTGTGCACAGTCGCCATGGTGGGCTGTAGGCTGGGCGCAGGGCCAACAGTGCTGCATGGCCCAGATGCTGGCAGTAGCGTTGAGGACGGTGGCCACAAGGTGGCTGAGTGATGATCCGAGCTCAGGAGATGGTGGCCTGGTGCTTTCTGTCCCGGGCATGCCTAGGAGAGCCCAGATGGGTGCTGATGAGGGGTAGATGGGGTGCAGGCGGGCCTTGTGGGTAGGGCTGTGACCTGACCTAGGCTTTCCACAGGTTCAAGGGCATAAAGAAGGGCGGAGTGACAGAGAACACAGCCTACTACATCTTCACACAGTGTGCTGATGGCGCCTTTGAGGCCTTCCCTGTGCAGAACTGGTACAATTTCACGCCGCTGGCCCGACACCGCACACTCACTGCTGAGGAGGCCGAGGAGGAGTGGGAGAGGTGAGCCATGGGGGTCACACTGTGGACACCCTCGGAGCAAGCCCACCCAGCACAGGCAGCTGGCCGCCCTGGGAACTGCGTGAGGGCTGGCAGGGCCGATGGGCACAGCCTGCCGATGGCAGCCGCTTCAGTTCTAGCCTGGGAGGGAGAGTCAAGATGGGTGCCAGGAAGGGAAGCTGGGACAGAGGACCGGGGATGCCCAGCATAGGTGCCCAGAGAGGGCACGCTGCGGGCATTTATGTGATGTGTGGGGTTGGCCTGTGCCTGCCTGCAAGCCTGGACCAGTGCATGTTCTCAAGGGGCCGGTTTCAAAAGCAGCCCCTTCCCAATGTGTAGGCTTATTCCAGGCATGTGTAGATGTATCCACAACAGCCTTGTCCAGGGGGACCCCTGCTCTATCAGTACTTCATGAGATAAAATAATTGTGGGGATGTGGTATGGGGTGATGCACACGCATACCAGTTACCCTAGCACCCAGAAGGAGGAAGCAAGAGGATCAGGAGTTGAAGTCCAGCCTCTGCTTATTAAGTTTGAGGTCAGCCACGGGGTCATATGAGACCTGGTTTCAAAACACCCCAAAACTTGCCAGGCATGGTGGTGCACGCCTTTAATCCCAGCACTCAGGAGGCAGAGCAGGAGGATCTCTGTGAGTTCAAGGCCAGCCTGGTCTACAGAGGGAGTTCCAAGTCAGCCAGGACTATATATAGACTCTGTCTCAAAAAATGAAACAAAGAAACAAAGGATTATTAGTTAGCTAACCAATGTGATAGCTGGATCTGTCTGGACAGACCCGGAGCTTGGCTGGAGGAGCTAAGATGTGGGGCTCCCT